GAGCTCAATAAACTCGTAAATGCTTTGATTATTTGCACCAGTTGATTTTGAATATTTTGAAAGAAAGATTTAGTGTGGCAAGTGCACTTCTGAATATTTTGTTGTAAGTGCAACGACCCCGCGCTGCTTCTTGTGAGATTGATCATAAGACCGGCTCGACGAGATGAGAGGCAGGGAGGTAAGTGCATGTAGTTTCTTTTTTAAGCGGATAATTTTATATCATACCTTAGAGTTAATCGAGGAACGATCCTAACAGCTTGCAGGACTTGCGACAAACTATGCGTGAAAACGCTTTGATAAAGAGTCTTAAATCTATAATGGAACTAATCCCAACGAACAAGCAAGGAGCCAATAGGAAATGCAGGTCATTTTATACAGACGGCCTTAAAGGGCATGTAAACCCAAAAATACATGTTTTTCTTATACTATGTAAAAAGTGGCGTAGAAAACGAATTTAAAATTAGTTTTGTCCAATTCGACTTATTTTAGGAGAAAATCGGCATTTTCAACTGAAATTCCATTTCCAGTAAAAACAATAGCGAGACTGGAAACTCAGACTGGTATTTAATTTACTTTGTGATTTATTTGTATTTAACATGAAAATGCAATAAAGCGAGGGTACAATTTAAAGGAATGCAACATAATTTTTTTAAACTTGAGCTTCTGAGAGTGTTTTATATAAAATTATCAAAGGTGCGAGTGTGGAACTTGTCAACCAATGCCGACAACAAATTTTTGACAGTCGGTGGGCACAGATTATGCCTCACTTTAAACATTAAACAAGCTATATCCTGTAGCCTTCTTTCATAAAGAGATTTTAAATTACCCTTCTTAAGTAATTGCTCATATGTGGATTTACTATCTCTGAAGACTGCACGCAAACCCCTCTCCTGAGTGCGTTCAAGTGAAGTTTTCAAGTGCATTCATAATGAAGGCATCCAATAAATATTCCAAATATTGATTAACTATGCCAGTTAATAATTACTTCACAAAGAATCTATATTTACCAAGAAAACGATTATGGACAATTCTCTCGCAAAGAAATATAGATACGCATGTCCATTTCTATCTTTACAATTATAAAGAGTTCCAGATGTAAGAATTAGAGTTTTGCTTACTATCAGTATCATAGCTTTTCGACAAAACTCACTGATATATTCTACAGTAGTCGTTGTATAACTCTACAAATCGTGGACCTATAGAACTTCCATTCATAGCTAACGGTGCGAAAAATTATTATCTGTGCATGCAGTTCTGCATTGGATTTCTTCAAGAGAATATCAAACCGAGTACAAGAAGAAAAGCGGTAATTTTACCCTTCGAGAAACATAAACATTTTAGTCTTGTTATCTGCCGCCTTCTTGAATCAAATAGGATACACTTTCTCATGCAGAGTGCTGTAATTGACCCTAATGGCTTCCTGGTCTTGTTTTGAGTTCGATGAATTGCGACATTTGCTGATTTTCGAATAATATCAGTAATAAGTCAACTTATTGTGAGATGACGTTTCAAATCAATCGATTATGGTATCCCATCTGTACATATGGAAAAAAATTTTGCGTCTTCCCTACGTTTAGTTTGCAAAACGGAGCGAAATATTTAACGGTCGTGACGAGAAAGGTTTGGGTGTATTACGCGACTCGACCAAAGTCTCTCTCGTTTTTTTCAGTACCGCTACTATCGCGCATTTACTATCGCGCTTTGTTTTACTTGCTAAATGTCTGGAACAGGTAAGAAAGGAAATAGGTGGAACTTCCAAGGACTTAAACTGAGAAAAAGTAATATCTTGAGGTGAATAAAATGGTCTCTGCCTACGTCTCCCGGACATCTGCATTTTAACAGGCACCAGGAGCCCAACGGGTGGGAAAGTCACAAAGTGCCTCCAATCCAGAACTGAGTAGTTGCATTTGAGCTTGAAGTACAACGAAATTTGGGATTCACCTTCGAATACAATCCAAAGAAATCACAGTCTGTGCAATTCCGACACTTATTTCCCCGGATGTTCACATATTCGAACGGTCGACATTTAGGTACATCATTTGAGGGTATGTCACTGATGATGTCAAAGTGTTCAAGCGAGGCTCTCAGGTAATCTGTATATACGGTGCCATCTGTGTTGTATCGGCAAATAGCTCTCCAGTGAGTCGAGTGATTTCTGAGCCAAAGCAGGTTGGGTCGTTTGATGAGGTAGGCCTGCCAGTTTGGATCATCACCGCTGATAGCTTGGTAGTCATCATAAAACGTGACATTTTTCTGCAGACAGATAGGGTCGACTTCAGTTGATGAAGATCATAATTATATTTATTAATTACAATAAGATCATTGCAACTAGAAACAAAAATTAAACCGGCTAAGATAGGCCTGACAATTTGGAGCATTACCGCTGATGGCCTTGCATCTGGATGACAATAATAAAAATACGATTCCTCCTGTTGACAGAATCGGTTGTTGTCAATATTAGTTATCATAACTTCCGAAAGAAACCAACGTAGCTGACGAAGCAAGCAAATCAAGGGACCAATGTAAAAATGAAAAAATAATTCATTTTGGAGGTACTAAAATAATAATCACATCCTCATCACCTTCTCTGCATAAATAACTAATGATAAATGGTCTTTTCTGGTGATAAAATCTCAGGATATTTACCTGGAAAAGATCTTTGCTGGATAAATTAAAGGACTCAATCAGGTTCCAAGCGAAACGAGGCTCTGAATCAAAATCACAGAACACTCGGAAAGTTTGGTGGCTGTCATCAATGAGTGTGAACAGTCGCGACCAGCGGAACCCGGCTAATTTGTACTCCTGACAGCTTCTTCTCAGCCAACTCTCGCAGTGTTTTCCAACAAACGGCAGTGGACAGGAACAGCGGTATCGAACACTTGTGGACTCGCAGACCTCAGTGCAGGTTCCTCCATTAAGACACGGACTGTTTCTGCAGCAGCCATTGCCACAATTGACGTCACCAGTACAAGGAACGATATTATTATGACCCTTATATACAAAATTGATCAAAAAAGAATATGTTTTTATCGCTATGCTATTCTTATGACTTTAATTTGAATGTGAGTTTAATATTGGCATGAACGTGTCTTTTCTCACCAATTTATAAAAGCATGTCCTCTTAATTTTCAAGAAGTCTTTTGGTTTAATGCATACCGCAATGGTCCATGAAAACTATCCTTTTTCAATATTACAAACCAGTGAGATCACCCAATGGCGAATAATATCTGATGTCAGTGAAGCAAAGAGCTAAGAGTTAGTTACATTCTATCTTGGTCGAGTCAATCAGTATCAGTTCAATGATTTCCAAGTATCTGACTGCGCAATTGGAATTGGGTCACCGGAATCTCATGGAAGCTCAGATTTACCCACTCTCTTCGCAATTTTTCTCTTTCTCCTTGAAATTCGTTGGAATTTTAATTCTTTTTAATGACATTTTGATATTTTCAAAAAACGGAAAAGTTTTATTTCTTTTTTTTTTTTTTATAGAAATTTAAAAAATAAATTTTTTGTATACTCGAGACCAAGATGAATAAAAAACTCATTATGAAGAGAAAGAAAATTTAGGCAATTTTCTCAGTTTTGAGAGTTGGGTTTTTACACAATATAATACATTAACAGTGTACCAACTTTTTCTGCAGCCGTTGCCTGAAGAGAAAACATGTACTTAACATTGAAAAAAATTTTGGGAAAGAAATTAGCACTTACATAAAGAAACATTTTGAGGGGTAAAGAAAGTAATTATTATGTAATTTTTTGCTTTAATGTAATAATCTTGCACCGATTATTTCAACAATCTATCGTCAGGTAAAAATACTAAAAATTATATATATATATATATATATATATATATACATATAATGGTTTCTCTTTGGCCTCCATAGTTTAAATAAAAGAAAGGAATTTCATTCGAAAAAAAGAATTTGCTATAATTAATTTTCCATCCTATACTATTCGTTACTGATTAATCGTTCAAAGGCCCTTTTCTTGGATTTTTTCAGCCTTTTAGGTGTTGATTGGACTCAAAGGCCCTGCCAAGGGATCTTATTATGATTAATATTATTTAATGGCCCCTCCAGGGATTTTGTTGCTTATTTGCCCTTTCAGGCTCCAAAGGCCTTGTTTGGGATTTTGGTACGGTTTACAGTAGTAGGTAAGAGGGGCTCTATCCTTTCCTAAGGCTTGCCGCATTGCCTCTTCAGCTGCTCTATTCGTTTTAGCAAGTTTAGTTTTTTAGTTTTTAATTTGTATCTCTCGTATTTTGTCCATTACTTTCTTTGTAGCTTGTTTTTTTTTCGATATTTTTCGCTTTGTTGATTTTGTTTTTTGTCACCTTTTTATTAACACCACTTTCTGCTCTTTCACGTGATTTTGTATCTTATTCATTAGTTGTCACCTGTAATTACGTAATCACTAGCACCTCGAGTTTATTTAAGTTTTTTTTTATTCAAAAGTTACAAATAACTGAAGAAGGTCTTTGACCGAAACGTTTTTATTAAATTTTTTATCTTTTTTACGTCAGAAGTTGTCCATCCTCGCATTTTTTTTAACTCTCTATACATACATATACATATATATAAACACTTTTTTATCTCGATCAAGATGAAGGCTACAAAGATGCCTTGTAAAATACTATATGACATAATAAAATTTAGTACCTTCGTGGAGTATTCTCTCAGCAGTATGTAGTAGATGCTTCCAAGAATGTTTTTCAGAGAGTTCTTGCTGGTTAAATGGCTGTGTTTGTTCAACTCGCAATATTTGGTTTCGTTTTTGACTTTGTAGTTTATTGACAAACATCGACAGTCGTTTATACACCACAAGTAGCACTGTGCTGGGTTTGAAGTGACAGACCTGTGAAAAACATGGCTGACGAGCTCTTGGTCCTGCTTGGCATGTTGTTGCACATTAAAATGGATCTTTTCACATTTTCCTGTAAGGCAGTCTCCTTTAACTTGCAAAACTAAAATTAATATAAAAACAAACTTTACATCCAACATTGTTACCGTGCTAACACCCTACTCGAGCAAACAATGTTTCTCGTGATGTCTTTCTTGAACAGATGGATGAATAATTTAGACATTGCCTTTCTTTTATCGATCAATTTAAAAGGGGGAAACCAAGCCAATTACGTTAGTGAAAAGATTATCGAACAAAAAAAAAGCAGAAAAGAGTAACAAAAAACTAATTAAATTAATATCTTCTCGCTATCATGGCGACCAAATAACTCCTTTAAAACATAGCATTTCATTTCCAACATTTGGAAAGCCTGTGGTTAGAGTAAATAGTTGTGGATTTGCAGACAATTTTGCGGTTTCTATTTCAGTATGTGCACATTTTTTATCGTTACTACAATTGTTGAAAATATCTTGTGCTAATAAGAGTTGAATACAGATCACTCGAGAAAGCTCTAATGATTTTAACCTTTTGATATGCAAATTCACTGAAGCATTTCTTATTAATCAGAGTCACTTTTCAGTTATGCTTGGACTGAAAAAGACGAAAGAACGTAAGAGGAAAGTAAAATAAGTGAAAGTTACAGAAATTACGGCAGAAACAAAATGTCAGGCAGAGTTCCACCATCATGTTTTTTGTTAGCTGATGTAATGAACAATGATTTTACGACTGTATAATATTTTCATTGGCTATTAATAATTCAGTGGAGGATCCAAGGGCCTATTTCTCTAAGGTTTTCTTAGCTAAAAATAAAGCTGTTCTGTTTTCCTTCAAGATAGGGGTTCCAAAAGTTTTGAAAATTCTACAATAAAACTATCGGCTAAAGAAACAAAATGGACTGGCTAGGGTGCCATAACCTGCTTCTCTAATCTTAAAATTTTGATTTTAAATATTGCCTTGGGTCCGTTTAGTTACCGGAACTTTCGTGAAAGTTCCGTAAAACTAAAACTACCCTAGGCTACGTTCTTCGCTCTGCACCCTGCTTCAGGCCTGGAGCTTTTGCAATGAACAGTAAGAAAGAGAGAAAATAATGTTTATTCGTTAGGTCATCTGCTTAATAGACTCAAGATATATGGCTACCTCGCCATTAATATTACTTTTGGGGGAAACCCGGAGAAATTTAAAGAATTTTTAGTTTTCTTGAAAACTGGCTCGATCTGCGTGGTTGCGTTTCAAGACACTCGCCAACAATATTACTTTCGGGGGCAGTTGGGAAAATTGAGAGACTAATCATCTGTCTTCACATTTGGCTCCATTTGTCTGGTTACCTTCTTTAAAACTGTCGACGGTAAGTTTTGTACCTTCTCTGCCATTTACAGATCGATCTTTACGTACATTTGCAATTGAGCCAACGATTCACATTCAACGGCCTTAAATTGAAATGGGACGATAAGATGATTTTCGACTCAAACCTTATCGTGTTGTTTGTATTTATTTTAACTTAGTTTGAATAAAAGACCTAGCCGTACAACCTCACCACATCTATATAGTAATCTTTATTGCACGCTACTCGTCTAGAAGGTCAATTTTTACGCCTAACGATTCAAGTTAACCCCGTTGAGACCCTCGAATATGATGACATGAACCCATCCTATCAAAAACTTGCAGTTAATACAGTGGTTACATTACCTCAGTATTTTATAAATCTTCTATAAAAATCATTCTATAAAATTCAAAGATCTTAGCTGCATTTCTGAATGAGCTTTTAATCAGTTTCTAGTTAGTCTACTTAATCAACCCTGCCCTCTCCCCTCCCCTCCATTTGCAAACTGAGGCCTTATAGTTATTTTACAGTGGTGGTATGACCACCGCTTAACCTTCCTGGGACGCAAAACGTATCCACAGCTTCCGCCCTTTGTCGAGATTTTTTATTCACAGCTTCCTTTTGACCCAGATATTTTTGCAGAGTCTTTCTGGGCAATTTAAAAAATATATGCCTAAGATTAATTTTGAAACAGCTGAAATTTGTATAAGAGGTAAAGTTGACGTTTCTGGCGGTGGCGTTTTTGAAAATTTCCAGTACTAAGTCTAACACGTGTAATTCAATAAGTATTCAACGTGGAGTTTCGTTGAACACGGCCACAGAATTCGCACGGATGGCACTGCTTGAATTTGAACTGTCAACACCGGCTCTAAAAAACGATGAGAATTTTCTCTTTGGACAGTCTTGGAACATACCCCCTACTTACGATGACATGTATCATCTGTTTGTATTGTGCGAGGCGTGTGGCATAGCTGTGCCGTAGACACTGACATGACCGCTTGGATGAACAATATTTAATTGCACATTGTTCTGGTTCAATAGCGAGATAATGGAAGTTTTTTCATGCATTAATTTTCCCTTTGCTGAGATGCTAGTTGCAAAGTATCTGGGCATTTATCTCACTTTAGTTTGTAATCAAATGAAAGTTAGGAGCCATGGAAGGAGGGGATGGAGAGGATTGTGGGGAATCACATGGTTTTCAAGGGGGAACGGAGGGTGGGGGGATCAGCTGTCACCAACAGGGTATAAATGAGGGGCCTATAGAAAATTTACTGTCAAATTGAGTGCCAATGAAGGGGGGAATCATAAGAATAAGAATGAGCAGAGCCTGATGGGGGATCAGGTAAATGTTTTCTTGATACAACCAAAATCCCCGCCTCCCCTCCCCCCCCCCACCCCCCCACTAGACTTTAATAATGACCAGTCGCTACTATTTCTTAAGTTAGTTTTATTCTAAAAATTGGTGCAAAAATTCTACTGAAATCATAACTCATATGGTCTGCCGGTTCTATTTCTCGATGTGCTGCCAAATGAGGAAGGACGAACTGTCGGTTTGATCTGCTGTGTTGTTTGGTCAGTGAACTATTTGCCTCCGATCCAAAACTGAGTCGTATCATCCAGGTTTGAGGTACAACGGAATTTGGGATTTGTAGTAGCGTACTGTCTAAAGTTGTCCTCGCTATATTTGGCTGGGTCTACCTCGCTTCCGTAAGATTCGCAAGATCCGCGCCCGGAACTGTCCATGTGGGATAGGGATAACTTCCTTTTTTATACCATGTCGTTGCGGTACAATTCACGCACTTATTTCCTCTGATGTTCACATATTCTTAGGGTCGACAGACACCTGACACCGTGGGTACCTCTCTGATGATATCAAAATCTTCAAGCGAGGCTCTCAGGTAATCTGTATATACGGTGCCATCTGTGTTGTACCGGCAAGTAGCTCTCCAGTGAGTCGAGTGATCTCTGAGCCAAAGGAGGTAGGGTCGTTTGATGAGGTAGGCCTGCCAATTTGGGGTATCACCGCTGATGGCTTGGTAGTCATCGTAAAATGAGATGTTCTTCTATAGACAGAAAATGTCAACTTCAGTTGGTAAGGATCAATATCACATCCGAGAAATAAAGATCTTTTCAGCTTAGAACAAAAATTAGGCTGAACTATTTTATAACGTACTCTTGTCAAATTGAAGCATTACCGCTGATGGCGCATGAGTCTGGATAGTCATTATGTATAAAACAGGATTTCTTTTGTTGACAGAATTATTCGAAGACATCATTAGTGACGAAAGCTTCTAAGAAGAGAGACGAACTTAACATACAAAAAAAAATTCAAAATGATGAAGGCATTTCCCATTTAGGAGAACACAATTTTCACATCCTCGTTATTTTCTTCAGATGAGAACGTACAGGATATAGTTCTTATAGCTTTAAAATCTTAATAAAACTACCTGAAAAAGATGTTTGTTAGACAAATTGAACGACTCGATCAGGTTCCATGCGAACCCAGGCTCAGAATCAAAATCACAGAATACTTGGAAAGTTTGGTTTCTGTCATCAGTGATGGTGTACAATCCAGAGGCGGTGGACCCGGTTGCTTTATAATCCTGACAGCTTCTTCTCAGCTGAATCTCGCATTGTTTACCAACAAACGGCACAGGACAGGAACAGTTGTACCGAACACTTATGGGCTCACAGATCTCAGTGCAGGTTCCTCCATTAAGACACAGATTGTTCCTAGAGCAGCCATTAGTACACGTGGCGTCATCAGTACATGGAACGATGTAGTTAGGAACCTTATATGCAAAAATTGATAGAACACTAAAGCATTTTTTTTTATCACCATATTATTATTATGATTATGATTTGTGTTTGACAGAAAAGTGTTCCTTTCACCTAGCTTTTTATTTTCTCAAGTTTGCAAGTAATCACGGTTACTCCCGAAATCTCTAATTTAAATACCGGCCATGCCATGCCATGATAGTCCTTTGAAATTACCCCTTTTTCAGTTTTTAAATAAGCGAGATCACCCAAATATTTGTCAAACATTTGCTAAAACTGATCAGTTCGTCTTTGATTTTCCTATTTCTCTATTTTACTAAGATAAATTTCGTTTGGTTAAAACAGTTACATATTTTACCACGCAATCGGGAAAAGACGGATTTTTCCATTTTCGTACAAATTTTTTTGTATATTTTCTCTACGAAATAAATTCTATTATATTTTTGACCTGCGAATGATATTCAAGTTATCTTTGCTGGTGAGAAGCTCTTGCACCTGCCAGGAAAAGTTCCTTATTTGTTGAATGTTTATCCGTTAGTTTTCTGATTCCATTTTTGCATTTCATCATTCGAAAGATTCATCTCTTTTCATAAAAATGTAGAAAAGGAAATGGATTTTCAAGACCTGAATAAAACAGGACCTTAAAATACAGACTGGGAAAATAGTAGGTTCTTGTTTTTTGAAGTTTTAATATTTGCACAATTATATAAATCTCCCAACATCTTTTGCAGCTGTTACCTCGGGCTCAAAACGATCAATTTACTCTGTTTTTAAATACTTTTGGGGAAGACATCAGCATCTACAAGGACAGGTAGTCATAATTTGTTTTAGTTTTGCTTCTGATTAGTTGAGAATCTCTTCTGTTGATCAATTTGGTTAGAAAACGTGGAACTCATAATCTTAATTTAAAATAGATTATTAAACAAGTTCCTCGGAATTACTTCACTTTGGTACACCTATACAACCATTGATATTTATTTAATATAACTTCCAAATGGAGTT